TTTTGCAATGTTCCGTTTGTCATGCATCTACATGCCTTGCCAATTATTTGTAGAGCGAATGATTTGCCCTGTAGTTTTTTACCTTCCGTCTGTTTTTTTCTCTTTCCTCTTGGTTTTTTTTACTACATACATATGAATGTAATGTAATTATAGTGTGAGTTTTTTCTGATAGCAGAAATCAAACGATATCTAAAGCACTTATTGTTTTATATTTATCATGTCTACTATTCATTATTATAAAACAGTTACCACATTGATAAGAAAAATTGCCTAATCGATATGCAAGACACATAGATACAAGACACGAAAAGAAAAATAAGTGAACATAGATTGAAAATGATGTTGATGAGAAATCTACAAGAAATAATGTCAAAACAGAGATATGCTGTCAAAAAAAGATGACAATTGAATGACATTGATTATCAATTACTGTCATTAAGTAAAGAAAAAAGCAGCAATAACATAGTTCTGATAGATGCTTTAGATAATCGAATCCTTTTCTTGCATCTAATTTATCATCATCATTCATAGAAAGAATTATTTATCACTTCTATATATACATATAGATTTTATCATCAAAACCAAATAAAGTACGTCGAAGTACTTCATGGCGATCTTTGAAAGAACGTGGATCTAGTTGTATCGAACATTTTACTTCACGTACATTATCAGTTGATGAACTTAATCGAAATGATAAACAACATCAAAAAAAAAATTCTTTACGTAAACAAGAATATAATCGACGCGATCGTATGTGTATTATGTGTGGGACTATTTCTTTATAATACAAAAAGAAAGCTCTCTCTCTCTCTCTCTCTCTTTATTTAGTTTCACATTCACCAATATCTAATTCAACACATCAACGTCAAAAAACATCAGGTCTTAATCGAATTCGTTTATCAAATTGTGACGCATCAATAAGTCTTCCCATAAGTCACAAACGTTTTGATCGTTTATCATCAACATTTATTAATTATTCAGATAGAAATAAGAAACAAAATTTATCAACAAAATCTCATCGACGAAATTATCAAGAAATATTTTCAATAAATCATACAAATAGTGCAGGTGGAGATTCTGGTTATTCAGAAGAAAGTTTTTCAACAACAACATCTTCATATACACGTCCATTACATATATCATGTCCTCATTGTCATTGTGAACAACGCTCATCATTTAATAATTATAAAAAATCTATTGAAAATTCTTCAACAGATTCAACAACGTCAGATACAATAATTAATAAACCAATGAATTCATCAGATTTTTCTTATCACCTTTTTCAAAAAAAACAATCTCTATCAGCTAGTCGATCTTATCCACATATTAAACCGTTACCGAAAACAACGATTCAATCACAAATAAGAAAACCTTCGATGCAAGAACAACAACAACAACAACAACCACAATCATACAGACAAACTAGAACAAATGGAGCAAAACGCAGAAGACATTTATCTTGTGATAGTTCACTTTGGCCAAAAACACAAACACAGCAATCTATTAATCAAGTAAGATTTAATAGATATAATCTCAACTAATCTAAAATAGGAATATTGAATAAAATTGAATGTTATTTATTTATTGCAGATATCATCTCCAGTAGCGTCTGAACGTAATCATGTACTTCGTCAACGTCATTTTACAACAATTGGTATGATATATAATGATCCATCACTAACATACTCAAAAACTTTATCAAATTTACCAAAAACGAATCATGTATTTGATGAACTTAATTTAGCTGCAATAGAACTTGATTCTCTTCGTACATTAGATTGTTATCATACATCATTTTCATCATCATATTCATCATCTTTAACATCATCATTGTCTTCAATAAATAATGATGAACAATCGAAAAAATCTCGTTCTGATTCAAAAAAATCTTCTCGACAAAAAGGAACATATCTTGTTTGGCATGAATATAAAAATTCTTCATTATTATCAGCAACAAATGGTACAAAAATATTTTCAGTAATACGCGGTGATCAAGTACGTTTATTAAGACGTATTGGTAAATCAACATTACTTGTACAAAAAGAAGATGATGGTTCAATTGGATTTTTACCACAATCATGTTTAGCACATGATCAAATAAACTCATTTTTATCTGTGAAAGGATTAAGAGAAACTGTTTTATAATAAAATATACAATCAGATTTTGGTCTTTTTTTATGACATATGTGACCTTGTATATCATTTAGTTGCTTATTTGTATAATATGTCAACGTTAAATGAACAAATTCTCATAAAATTATTTGAGATTAAAAGTAATAAAATATGACATTTATTAACAATGATTGATTTATTCAAATCAATCTTATTATATATATATATATATGTTTATCATTAGAAGTTAATGATAAATATAAACAATCATTATAAATGATGACTGTTATTTTTCAAAGTCATTCAATGACATTTAACATTGAGTCATTTTTTAAATAAAAATAAATCTAATATATAAAAAAAAAAAACAAAATATCATTTTCTAGAAATGATAAATATTTTTTATTTAAAGATTTATTTCTTCATATAAATCTTACATTTTATATTTTAAATGTAATTCTATACAAGTGTAGAATTCTTCGATAGAAAAAGAAAGCAGTACAAGAACGATTCATGATGATTGTCTATAATTTAAATAAAAAAAAATTATTTCTATTAAATTTCATGTCTCATGTTTTGACAAACATTATTATTCGAATGTTATTCTTCATAAGATATTTTTAAAAAAATATTAAGTTATATGTATTAACATAAGGAAAAAAACAGGAAGAGCGTGCAGATTTTATTAACTCATACAGCGTGCATTGCAGATAGAATTAACAAAGCTGTATAATTCACTTCCGCAGTAGAGCACCCGCCATTCTCGAATAATTATGCGTCGAACGTAATAGAAGACCTTCCTTTAACAGTATTTTATCCAGATTTTATCATCCAGAGTAGCTATTTAAAACTTCTGGAAGACAAATACTAATTTTTGGAAGCACAGACACATAGTATATTGTATAATTAGCACAAACTTCTTAATGACTCAGCAGATCTTCAGAGGTATTCTATCGCCTTAGCTTCCACATTGAATAAAGTCTTGCTCTTAATTATTAAACTTCTCGAAAAAGTTGGAAATTTGAATACCTCTCAAAAATAGATCTTAGCTCAAGTAGATTCAAGTTGTATAAAATTTTCAAAATATGTTGGGGTCTTAGTGAAGAGACTATGATAGAATGTTTAGCCCTATACGATACTATTTTTAGTAGATATTCAATAAACAACGGTAAAAAAAAAGTAACTCATTTGCCAACCCAAAATTCTCTGTGGGTCTTCGTTCTGTATAGTCAATGTTTTTTTTTGTTTGAAAGAGTATGTCAGCAGGCAGAACATCACAGGCTTCTTTTCTTTCTAATTTTCACTTTTTTAGGAGAGGAAAGCGATGAAAAGTTTAATGCCTCAAACAACTCCAAAAAAAAATGACGTTTCATGGATTAAAGTCCTTTTTTTGTATAATAGTAGTAACAAAATGTCATGCACTACATCTTGGCATGGTCTGATAAACAACAGAAAAATATAATATATAGAGCGAAAGCCCCCAGAGAATTTTGAGTTGTGCGATAAAAAAACACATAAACATAGAAAAAGCAAGAAAGACATTTTCCTTTTTCTGGAAACAGTATCGTTTTTAAGCAAAAAATGACGGAAAGTTTTCAGGAAAAAAACGAGACTGCCAGACAAGAAAAACATGTCGCTCATGAAAAATAAGATCTCCAGTCGTTTTTCGATGCATTCATTTCAAATTTTCATGTTTTTGCTGAAAATTGCAATCTTAAAAGACTGAAATTAATATGTTTGCTGGTCTTTTACAACTCAAAAAATATTGTCCAAAATCCTCAAAATCGTTTGTTTTTTTTAAAACTTTTTTAATAAAACAACTATGATAAGTAAATGAGAGGCAATAGAAGATTCCTCTGAAAAATCTGTAGACACTTAGACATAATAGAAAATCTGATGTCTCATATTGCAGACCAAGGTTTTATTCATGTTTGATAAGAGTAATTTCTCGCCTGATCAAAATAGCATCATGATATCAAGGAAATAATTTTGTCTGATAATTATTTTTTATATATAAGAATCGTAACCTTTCCATAAAAAGTGGAATTCTGCATATACGCTTTCGTCGTGACATTTCAATACCTACATAATATATACTCTTCAAGACAGCGATGTTTGGCAATAATTTGTCTAGAAGGAAATCGATTTATATTTAATCAGGATGAACTTGAAGAAGAAGAAGAAATTAATTGAATTATTTCAAAGGTCAAAAAAAATGCAAATAAACATACTCATTTATCAATATTTAATATGATATTTTAGATTAACATACATGAATAGAAAATCCAAGATTAAACATATTTTCTCAATGAGATCTTTGAATTCTACCAGTTGAACAACGTTTTAGAAATAATGATATAAATAAATAATTCTTTTTTTCTATTTAAAAAGTTCATTACATGTATGTAAAGAGGTTTCCTTCCTTATAACAAATCTTACTTTCTTTTAAAATAAAAATAATTTAGGCTATTAATTGAACCAGACAATTTATTCTTTTTCTATCATAAAAAGAAACCGATTATTAATCTCTTTACAATACAAAAAAAAGTAATCATTTCTCATAGGATTAGTAAACTTGTGTTTTATTATCGTTGATGTTCTGTCACATCTTTGTTCAATATATATATACACACAGAGTTATACACAAGTACTTATGAAGCTGTTGTCTTAGAATAACAACTAAAATTAAAAAAAATGAAGAAATCAGTTTGCATGATCTGATAGACATACGCATACACAATACGATAATTAGTGTTAACAGAATAAAGGAACCGAAATAAAAATTAATCAGAAGAGAAAAAAATAAAGAACACAGTCATCAATATGACATATACACACATATAGAAGAAAAAGAAAAGACATATGTGAATTCACACATTAACAAGAAGTTAGACTAATTCCAAGACTTTAACAACCCCTTGGCTATTAGCTGCTAATAAAATATTTTCACGCTAAAAATAAAAAAACAAAAACAAATTTTTAATAAAAATTTTTTTTTTTTTTTCAAGAAAAGAAACTTATATACATACATTACTCCAACACATAGCACTAACAAATTCATTTCCTGTTTCTTCTTTTTTAACTCGATCTGTATTAACAGCTGTTGTTTTAACTGTTCCATTATTAATATCATCAAATTTATAACTAAGTAATGGTCGAGATATTTCACGTTGATATAAATGTACTGTATTTGTTTCACTACCTGAAATTTTTTTTAATTGAAATCAAAATAAATTTAAAAAAAAAAACTTCTTACCACAAACAATATAACCATTTGAAACAGCTAAACCAACAAAATTTTTTTCATTAACATGTCCACGATATGTTCTTAAACATTGTCCTTCTGTAACACGCCATAAACGAAGTTGACTATCAGTTGATGCTGAGACAATTTCATTATTTGATAAAAATCGTGCATAAGATACAGCTTTTTTATGACCTTTTAATAAATGACATGGTTCACGTGTATTACGTAAATCAAAATAATATAAATTATGATCAGCTGTACCAAAGACAATATTATATTGTGAATCAGGTTTAAATTTAACACAACAAACATTTGATTTTGCATCAATTGTTGTTACAGAATAATCATTATGCATTGACCATATTTTAACTAAAATTAAATAATATTTTTTTTTTTCAAAAATATAATAAAAAAAGAAAGAAAGATTTTAATTTTTTACCTCGACAATCATCAGAACATGATGCAAGTAATTTTGGATCTGATGAACAAAAATCAACACTCCATGAACGTTTTTCATGTTCCTAAAAATTAATTTTTTGTCTTTTGTATTATTTCTTTTATTATCAAAAGGTAAATAAAGAATTTTACTTGAAAAGTTCGAACTTTTTGTGCTGTTGCCATATCCCATATAGAAACAAATCCATCATAATCACTTGATGCTAAATAATTTCTTAAATATGGATTCCAACTAATACAACTTAGTTTAGCTGTACATAAAACTTCTTTTGTAGGATAATGTAAATCAACAACATTATCTAATATTGATTGATATTCATATAACTTAAAACATGAAAACAAAAAATATTTCAAATAAATTTAGTTTCTTTTCGAAATTTTTTACTTTAATCTTTTTTGAAACACCAGCAACAGCAAAATGTTCATAATCTCGATCAAATTCGATACTAAATCATAGAAAAATATTATTCAAAAAGAAAAAAATAGATAATTTAAATACAAATTATTTATATTATGATCTTATTATTTGAATAATTTTTTTAAATGGATTTCGTTCTAATATTAATTATAAGAAAATTAGAGCTCTGTGTCGGATTCCGTTGGGTTTGGACTGATCTTGAAGAATTTTCTTTTTTTTTTGAAGAATACAGATTTAATTTCGATTTTTTGAGAAAAATAAAAACTTCATAATCTCTAGAAAACTTAAAATCTAGTTATTCAGCATACAGAACCTGAAACAACTATACAAAGCAATAAAGCAACTGATCCTCTACTAAATAAGATGTCTCCGAGCTTTTCATGACATTTTTTTTTGACTGAACTACATCAAAATTGAGAAACGTCACAAATAGTTTCTTTTGCTATTTCCTTAGGAGAAATGGGACAAAATCGACTATTCTGTCCCTCTTATAGCTTATGTCATTCACTCAAAAAGTATCATTGAGAGTGCGAAATTCTGTCATTTTGTAGAGAATTGCTTTGTCACTCGACATAATCAAAAGAAGCTTTATTTTTGTATATCGGATGCTGAAAAGGTAGATTCATAGTTTGTTAAAGATCTTGGATTCAAAGAATATCGCAAAGACTTTATTTTTCTCAAATCTTTGTATCGATGTCATGATACAAACATATAAAATCGATTTTAATAAGCTTACGGGCATTTATCTTAATAATCAAATCAAAATTGTTTTATCATTAAAACTATTGATGTAAATAACTATCATCTGACGATTTCGAAATGACAATTTTAATCGAAGAATATCAATTAATGCATCCAGGTTCTTATTGATTGTCTCAAGTTTATATGATTTGATGAGTGACATGCATCATTCGCCTAGGGGTTATTTTTAAAGAGTACTGTTACTCTTTCTTTTCCAAAAGATAATCGAATTTGATTTTAATGGCATAAGATGATAATGCTAAATGAAGTATCTAAAGTCGATACACTAACTAATCGATTATTATAAAGGTTTTGAATAAAAAAAAGTTTTTTTTCATTTACACAATCATAGTGAAGTCTATGAAAACAAGTAATATTATCAAAATATCTTGGGTAATATTCTTTAAAAATTTTTTTGTTCTTCAAAAAGGGAGAAAAGTACTTTTAAATATACTAGTCTACGAACGAATCGGAAAACAGCTTATTTGTATACGTTTAAAATACACCGACCTTTTCATCCATTAGCGATGTGATTTTGGAAAATAAAAGTATATCTCAGACCTCTGTTTTAGAATTTTTTTATGTATCAAATATATGTCGAATGATTTTTGTGAAAATAACGAAAGAACGTAACATAAAAGAAAAACAAAAATCTCCGCTGCATGCGTTTCCATTTACAACTATTGAAAGTTCAAAAAATATTTTCAGAAACATTTTGTAGAAGACTCTTATCGTCAAAAAATCTCTATGCAAAAGTTTCTTCTATAAATATTAATTTTTTATCAAAAATTTAAGTTTATTTGTTGTTACCAACGTAACTAAGTACGAATATAGGAAAGAAAAATCTTCTTCTAACTAAATGAAAAGTCCTAAAACGAATTCCTTATAATGTAAATCCTTATTGAAGATTTCAAAGTGATGGCAAAATAAAAATTGTCGTGATGAGACAATAGAAAATTCTTGAAAAATTGGTTTTTATGAGACGAATCTTGCTGAAAAAAGTCGTTGTACATGTAATGTACGCCGTAGGGTATATTTCAAAATTCTGGAATTTATCCGTTATAATGTTGAAGAGTTATTCCCTAATTACATTGTAATTGATTAACCAACTAATGAATTAAGTTTAAATAGATTGAAGCTGAACGATCCAATAGTTTTACATATGTTCATGGTAAAAAAAGCCTATTGGGAACAAAATAGAACTTATAAAAGAATCAATCTTAAATCGAAGATAGTCATGTTACATTTTGTCTGATTTTGTCCATATATTTGCCTTGATCACTCATAAGTTTGTGTATATTTCTTTTTTCTTTTCTAAGAAAAGACTGATTTTTTTTAATATAGTTACCGATACATTTAAATAGAATGATAAATGAAATAAAGACAAACCTTGATACAATACTAGCTTGAGCAAAATTGTCTCCAACAAAATTAACAGTTGAAATTGGTTTACAACGTGAATATTTTGTAACAGCAGCTAAACTATCTCGAAATGCACTTAATCCACTGTCACCATTACATGATCCATCTTAACAAAAAAAAAAAGAGAGAAATTTAATTTTGCAAAAATAACAAAAAAAAGAAAAACATGATTTTTTCGAACCATTTTCAACAGTCAATCTTAATGAATTTCTTGTTGAAAAATAAATATTCGTTAAATCATCCATAAAACGCATCATTATTTTTGTTCGATTTTCAATATCATCATTGGTTACTGATCCATTTGGATTTGTTTCTTCTGGTACCTTAATTTTTAAGTTTCGATTGTTTTTTTGGTCTATAAAGAAAAGTTGAAAGACTTACAACAGCTCCACTTGGAGCAATTCTCGATTCAAGACATTCAGTTTTGGTTAAAGTTGACGAATTTGTTGTTGTTGTAGACGGTAACATTGATGAAGAAGACATTATTGATGTGGATCCTATTTGTTGTTTTTCGATTTTCATATCAGGTGTTGCACGGAGATCCTTTAAATAAAAGAAAAAAAAAAACAAAATTTTGTTTTGTATTTCTTCAACCCGTGACAAAGAATTTATAAAAAAAAGAACATTTAAAATGCGATCATCAAAGGACATATCTGAATCTCTCTTCTCGAAAAATCGATTTTTGTCAATAAGGAATGCATCTAATAAAACCAATTCATTCGTAAGAACAAGTTTGTTCTTTAACAAGAAGAATATAGTACAGAGATGAAATCATTACTAGTTTTCAGACTGACTATTACCGATGTGTTTTATTAATTTTTGTTGCACTAGCCATCTCACAGAGAATGTATAATGTAATTTTATTGAAAGTTGATAGTCCAATATCGGTATGGGGTATCATTTCAAATATAATATGACGAAGCGCGTTCTTGACAATGAAGAACTGTTTTTCTAAAGCGTATTCCTAATTGACAAGAACCTACTTTTCAAGGATACGTTTGGACCTCTTCTTTGACGATCGCGTTCTAAAACTGTTCAAATGAATTTTCAATCGTTCTTTTTTTATAAATTCTTTTTTTGCATCGAAAGTTTAATAAATCTAACTTGTCTTCCTGATTGTATCCAAGTTGGTACAGTATCATTAACAATAGTTGTATCATTTGATGTTGATGATAATTCTTCTTTAGTAACAATTGTTGAATTTGATGATAATATTGGATTATCATCAATAATTTGTTTTGAATTTATATTTGTTGAAATATTTACATTTAATAATGATGATGAACATTTTTGTCGTTTAGACATTTGTTTTAAATCTTGATCAACAATATTTAATTCTTTTGTTAAAGATTCAATTGCCTTAAAAAAAAAGATAGATAAAACAAATTTTTCAAAAATAGATAAAAAAGCAATTCTTACTCCACTTCGTTCATGATGAACATGCATTAAAAATATTTCAAGTAAACGATTATGAACATATTCACTATTCTAATAAAAACAAAATATATTAAACTAACAATAAAAGAATAATACAAACTAAATCAAGTTTTTCTTTATGTTGACGAATAATAGACATAAGACGATCGAGATCTTCGGTATTTAATGAATGAACATTTGTTACCATCTCTGAAATATGTTCAACAATATTCTAAAAATACAAAAACAGATATTTTTCAAGGAACAAAAAAAATCATAGATTAACATACACCATATTTGCCAAATGTTGGAGGTAATGGACGTTGTTGACGATATTTTTCAATGATTGCATTTACTATATTTAATATTTATTTTTATAATGAAATACTTAAAAAAAAGATCATATTTCTTACATGTATAATTTGGAAAAATATCAGTTGTTTGAAGATTTAACTGACATTTTGGACAACGACGAAGAGATTCAACTGTTCGTTGAAGACATTTGCTACTACAAAAAAACAAAATAAAAATCTCTATTAAAATTCTAATGTTAGAATAATGGAAATTCTTCTTTTTCTCTTTGTCTAACAATAGACTATAATCAAGAAGATATTAATAGAATTATAAATGTTTATATGGTTTCAAATTATGACTTTGAAACTTGATAGACAGCAAGCAGATTGAACACAAAAGTCAAAAAAAAAAAAATAGTCCTATTCGGAGTTTCAAATCATTATGTTAGAAAGGAAAAGCATGATTAAATATTGAGATAATCTCATTTATGTTGCAATTTTTGTCAATAAATAAGTCGTTTTGATCGTTGAAATATTTCAGCAATTTCAGCTAAAACAGAAGATAAATTTTTCTCAAAATGGAATCAATTTTTTACAAGAGAAATTTCTTTTATAAATGAATTATTGTGAATATTCTTAAAGATATAGAAAAATTTTTCTTTATTCAATTTTGACACAAGTATTCTTGCGTACACTTAAATCTTTGCTAAATGATGATAATTCAATATAGTTCAATTAATGTTTGAGTTAGAATCGATAAGAATCTTCGTATTTTGTTAACATCTCGTTTAATTTTCATTGTCTAGCTTTATTTTTCATATGACGAGATTCGCTATGAAACCCTATACAGTTTGATGTATAAATTACTCTATCTAAGCTTGATGAGTGTAATAGACAATAGTCTACATCTATTTTCTAGCGTATGACAAATCCTATTTTTCAACATTAGTAGAGAAATTCTCAGATTACTACGAATTTCATTGATTAGTTATTTCCTTTTTCTTCGAATAAACCAAAATAATAACTTTTATAGAATATCAATATTAGGATACTCATTAAGATTTGTATATATACGGATCCTATGCAGTAACATTTTCTGTATAAACTTAGATGTCAAGCCTTCGTCTTTATTCAAATGTCATAAGTTAAATTTGTTAAGCTTGTTGTATTTTTCACTAAGCTGAGGTAAAAAGTACATTTGTGTCAGGAATTTTCCAAAGGGGTTGTTCAACTTGTTATAGGAAATACATGGCAGCAGGAAAATATTTTTTTTATTTCTTGACAAAATTTTTTTCTCCGTTTCTCCTTCCAGATATTTTTTGATCAAGGAAAGTGCACAGTCACTCATTGCATTACCCTTAGCTACGCCCTTAGTTTATTTATACATCAATAAAAGTTGAATGATACTAAATTTACCTTAGATAATATGTAAGAATTATATTTGATTATTTTTCCGAACTCATTCTACCTTTAAATCAACTTTGTAGTAAAGATAACTCAAATGTTTTATGAAAACATGTTTCCAAAGTTTTATTCATCAATCTTAGGTGTAGCTAATTTTATATGAAACTCTAGAAAATTTCATGACACATCTTTTCATGTGAAAAGCAACTTTGAACAATGAAAATGGAGCGAAATGTGAACAAAATACAAATATTCTAGTCCAAATATTATTTATCGTTTCTTTAAGATTAAGAGTCAAATTGAACGAATTGTTCTTCGTTCATATCTAATTGAGCATCCAAAAAGGAAGATATTAGTAGTGAAATAGATTACAATATATCAACGTATTCGTTCAAACTTAGCTTTCTTTTGAATTAGAACGAAAAAAAATAATAAGATGAATGCTTTTCTTTTCTGACAATTAGTTTACTCAATACAAACTGTTTCCTACATTTTTTAGTTAAATACAAATTATACAGATTAATAAGACTCATTAATTAAAAGTCTATAGAAGAGTAATGATAAAATATTTGTAAATTTTAAATGTTTTTTTTTTTTTATCAGAGAAAAATTCCTACCAGAAACTGTGTCCACATCGAGAAACAAATGCTTCATTAATTAATTCAAAGCAGATTGGACTAGAGAAAAATAAAAGTTTTTCTTTCTAATTAAAAAAAAAAAATTTTCTTTACCAGCTAAAATCTTCGTCAATAGTTGAATTAAAAGAAGATGGTATTTCAATTTTTGGTGATATTGTTGCATCAGTTGTTGTTGTTTGTGATTGAGATGATGATGATGATGATGAAATTTCATCTGTACGAGTTCTTTTAACACCAGACATTTTATATAAATAGAAAATTGATGATTGATTTCTATTAAATATAGATATTTATTATGATAGATTAGACAAAAAAAAAAAAAAAATTCAAACGTCTTACTCGTCTTATATGATATATGTGAATGATCGACGGATGAAATATTAGAATTAAATGTATAGAAACACACTTAACTGATTTTTCTTTTTGCTTTTCTACCAAACACACAACAGACTAGTTATGATATAATCTTTTATTTATAGAATCGATTGAAACATTCAAAGATTTTATGTTTCTCGAGTTATTTTTGTTTTATATTTGAAGACACTATCATACAAATTAAAATTGTATTATTAAATTTGACTATATTTTGTGTGCTTTTTGTTTCGATTATTAAATTCTTTTGATTATTAAATGAAACAAAAAATAAAAACTTTGAAGGAGATACAAAGCAACATTTTTATTGGTTTAGAATATAACAAATCATAATGATGGAATAATTAGTTCAGATATTGTCCTAAAATAGAAATAGATTAGTGGATTCAATTAGTGTTTCTTTTCATTTGTTAACAGAAGAATATATGTTACTAATCAATGAAGTCATTTCATAATCTATACAAGATTTTAATGATCATTTAACCAGTTATGTAATGATTGATTGATTGATCAACTATTGTATAATAATTTTGTTCGATTCAATACATAAGACTATATGTTCAAACTTATCAAAGAAAATATTTTTCTATCAATACTTTTTTTTTTTGTAGATTGGATTAATAGAAAAAAAAATGACCTCTAGCACTAATAATATTATCCAAATTCGAGGTCAAGATTTTGCGGTTGGTAATCGTTTTGTTAATTTAAAATATCTTGCATCTGGTGCTTATGGAATGGTGGTGTAAGTAATTTATTTTATTTACAAATGAAATTTTCTATTTCGAGAATATTCCTGTTAGATCGGCGTTTGATTCTCAAACACTTACAAATATTGCTATAAAAAAGATTTCGCCATTTCTTTCAAAGATAAATTGTCAACGAACATTACGTGAAATTCGAATACTTCAACGACTTAAACATGAAAATGTATCAAACTTAATCTTTGTTTTTTTTTTATCTTAATAAAATTTAATAAATTTTTTCTTTTAAAGATAATCAATATAATAGAAATTCTTAAACCAACATCATTAGAACAAATGAAAGATATGTTCGTATGAAAATAAAATTCTTATTTTTATTTAAATATTCAAATTTATTGTTCTTTTTAAGTTATTTAATTGAAACATTAATGGATACAGATTTATCTCAATTAATTACACATCAAAATGGTTCAAAAATTCTATCGGATGATCATATTCTTTATTTTACTTATCAATTATTAAGAGGTGTCAAATATATACATAGTGCTAATGTGTAAGTATGTAAATTAAATAATTCACTTTTGATTTTTTAATTTGGTCATGACAATTCAGCAAGAAATGGTAAAGAACGGCTGATCGGAAAGTTTTTCAACAAGATGTTTGATCACTTTTGACCCGATAGGAAGTATTTCCGAAGAGTAAAAACCTATGATTTTGTGCTCCGTTTGAATATGGACTTAGAAATTTTGTCTGATGAGGCAACGTTCCCAAGTGTGTCACGTCAATCGAAGGTGTGGCTATTCTCTATACCTAGATGCACCCATACCTGAATGTTTACGTTCTTTCTGTTTATATTACTATTGTTAAAAGAGATAATATCATTTAAAATATTGTCTTAAATGTTCGAAACTTATTTAAATAGAATTTGATAGGGATCAGTCTTTATTTACATATAAACTTATTTTGAATAAAACCTAGAACTAATCGAACAACCTTTAAGGGTTCGTGCCTATATACTGTCTTTCTCAAGTCATTAAAATTCTACTGAATTTTCTATTGTAGTCAAGGTAGTTTTGAAGAAATCGAATTAGAAAATGTCAGTGCAAAGAGATGTGCTCTTCTTGAAATATTGAATATTCAAAAATAATTATGTGTCACAAGAAAATATAAGAAAGCTCAGTGTTTCCGATATTTGATACCTCGGTAGTAACACGTCCCTGTAGGCTAAAATTTCGTAATTTGATTTCTTTTACAAATAATTTGTCAACGATAAAAATTCAGTAAAATTGTAACAACTTGAAAAGGATGATGCATGAGAACGAAACTTTATATACTTTTACTAGTTCCGTATAAGTGTACTTATGAGCAAAAAACCAGTTCGATTGATGAGTCACACTTGGGAGATTTTCTTCGTCAGTTTTTGTTTGAGAATAGTGAAATAATCTTTGAAAATATCCAAACAATTAGTGTAAACAAAACTTGTGAGTCGCCGGTTCCGTTAAATAAAACACGGTCATTTTGATCTGCTTGAAAGTATTTCAAACGAGCCAAAATCTGAAGATCGATCAGAATTTGAATATTGGCTGAGAAATGATGTATCTATTTTTGTTCAAGAGTAATGAGAGACTTTTTCCAAGAACTGAAAATGACTTTTAATAGTAAGTTAATATACTTTTTGTTGACTTCATGAGTCCTTTTTTATGCATGCAAAATATTGTCGCAGTTGGCCGTTTTGTGAAGCGGCTAGTTCTCAATAAAATGTGACATTGGTCTAAGAGATAGCTTTTACTCAAGTGAGGATACAAGCATCTTTTTCAAGAGCTCTTCTCAACGTAAAATGGTTTTCGATTTTTCAAAAATGAATATTTAGGAAAAACGAAACTTGAGGGGTTTTATAGAAAGACAGAAAAGATGGCAAATAGTGCATTTGGTAGAATAGTTTCTAATATACAATTTAATATAAAAATAAAGGTTTCAGCTTTTAGTCTCGAATCACAATAGTGAAAATACAAAAATAAGTGGAAAATTTTTCAATCCTAATTAATATTTTGGGCTTTTCAAAGATTATTTCACTACTTGCGAATGAAAACCGAGACAAAATTTCTAAGGTCATAGTCGAAAAAAGCATAAAAATAATCCTTCTCATTGATAGGTTTTCATTTGTCGGAAATACTTTCTAGTCAGTCAAAAATGAATAAACATCTTTTTGGAAAACTTTCTGATTATCTGTTACTTATTGCTACGAGGAATCCATCCTTGATATCAGTTCTCGCTTTTCATTAATTTTTCGCCTATGGATATTATATAGTTTATGAGGCAAACAGACATATAATAATATATTCTTTGTTTGGATTGCTTATTTATTGCTTTATAAAGAAAAGAAAAAGTTTTTAGATTTTATACGACAATTTTCGAAAGTAAACTTTTCCGATATAGAAGAAAAATGTGAATGAAGTGACGGTTTTCTCTTTAAATCAGCCAAGAATTATTTCAAAATAACTCGATCAAACTTTGAAAAAAGTTATGAAAAGCTCATTTTTATCGGCTGTAGTCAGAAGTAATCAAACTAGGTTTTTGTCATCAGAATGATCCGATATATATAGAAAAGTCTACGAGAGAAATATTAACCCAATTTATTAGTTAGTTTTCTATCGTTCACTTAAAAGATCAAGCATAAAGAAAAAGAAAAAGAAATTCCAACTGTGATTTGAATTATCATTTTTCACCGTTGAAGTCGAGCAAACGACTTTCATCTAAAGCTTGGATTCATCCCTGTAAAATTCATAGTCATTGCGTTAAAATCTGTGCAGTCATTCTTCATAAACTACTGTTTTTCCTTCTTGTAAGTGAACATGGCTCCTATGGAAATAGAAAACGTAGATAAAATCCTCAATTCGGATTCAGATAGTGTCATAACTGGTTATGGCCTAAACACTTTACTAACCTAACTATTGAAACACTGTTTTAACTTAATCGAAATCAAGGAGTGTTTTTTGCCGATGACAAACAAAAGCTTATGAAATACTCATTTAACCAGTTCAATTCACTTTGTGTTCGATTTGTATTTTCATAGCTTAATTGCTAAAGCGTTTAATTACTTATCAATAATAATTCTATCAATTTAGATTGAATTTCAATAGATATTTATTTTCTTTTTTTCGAATTTGCTGTTTCTAATGGTTAACAGAAAAATAGGTATCACACTATCTTCATCTATACAAGTTATGAGAGAAATTTCAAAGTGTTCAAAAAGCTAACCGATTGATTTTCGAATATCATATTAAGCCTTCATGAAAGATCGAACTGTTTGTTTTATTGAAGTCTATTCGAAGCTAATATATGATGATGATGAAACAATTTATTTGTTTTAGTTTACATCGTGATTTAAAACCAAGTAATTTGTTATTAAATCGATCATGTGATTTGAAAGTAAAACAAACAAAAAAATACTTATGAATTTTTTAAAATAAACTCTTTCTTTTATTTATAAAAGATTTGCGATTTTGGTCTTGCTCGTACAGTAGACGACAAAGCAAGAGATGATGGTTTATTAACAGAATATGTTGCAACACGATGGTATCGTGCACCAGAAATAATGGTTAGTCAACGCTGTTATCATAAATCGAGTATGTTATTTTTCTTGTAAAAAGTAAAATTTTTCAAATTAATTCAATAAATTATTCTAGTTGATTTATGGTCATGTGGATGTATTCTTGGTGAAATGCTCCTTGGTAAACCATTATTTCCTGGTCGTCATTATGTTGATCAATTAAATCATATTTTTTCAATAATTGGTTCACCAACAAAAGATGATTTAGCATCGATTCGTGATCCAAGAGTAAGATTTTATTTTATTTTTTTTGTAGATTAAATAAATCATACAAAAAAAAAAAATCTTTGTTTTATTAAAAAGGCTTGTTCTTATATAAGTCGAATGCCATTTAAAGCAAAACGTACTTTTAGTGATTTATTTCCTCGAGGAAGTTCACTTGGTAAGTTAATATAATTTTTTTTTTTTTTTTGAAAAAAATCAAATGAAATTTTCTTATTTAGCTTTTGATCTACTTGATAAACTATTAACATTTAATCCATCATTAAGATATACAGCTGAACAAGCATTAAGTCATCCATATTTAACTCAATATTCAGATCCAGATGATGAAGTAAAGAAATTATTTTTTTTTTTTGTCTGTCTTTTTTATTAATTAATTCTAGCCAATATGTTCAATACCATTTTCATTGAGTGATGATATGACTTGTGTTTGTACAATAGATGATTATCGTCAATTTATCTTCGATGAAATTCAAACATTTTCACCAAACAATTGATTTTGATATCTAGTCTTCAATTATTTTATATGTCAGATATTTTTGTGTTTATTCTCTATTCGTTTACTTTTTTTGAAGAACAATTTATTAAATTTTTTTTTTTTTAAAAAGATATAAAAGAGAAAACATTATAATTTGTTGTAGAAATGAATCTATATGAAATTCTTGGTGTATCATCAAATTGTTCATCGGATATTCTTCGACAAGAATATCATCGTCTTTTACTTGAATATCATCCAGATAAAACAAATTCAAATGATTTAATAAATAGAAAACGTTTCGAAGATATTCAATATGCTTATAAAATTCTTTCAAATATTGAACTTCGATTAAAATATGATCAAGAACAAGAACGTCGTTATTTACATACTCTTCCACATACAAATATAGATTCAAATGATTTTAATGACGATGATAATGATAATGAATATACATGTCGATGTGGAACTATTTTACAAATTGATAATGAAATTAATTTTGATATTATTGAATGTCCGAATTGTTCTATGAAAATTCAACTAAAAAAATAAATAAAAATTGTTTTCTATTCATTGGTAAATTTATTTAGTCGTTTTTCTTTTTTGTGAAACTCACATAAATTAAAACTTCTACTATGGAGCACCTCCTAATTATTAATGGGAGTAGATCTGACGAACCGCCTTTTGTTAGAAATGATTTTCTCAAAAGTAAATAGATTTGCAATGGTTTTTTGACTTATTTCTTATGCACTATGAGTTTGTACATATATGAGAGTTATTATGATAGATGAAGATATCCTTGCATTCAATAAATATGAATGTCTGATAAAATGAATAAGATGACGTCGCTCATGATGATGATTGTATGTGAACAGAATTATCATTAGAAGTAATATAAGAAATGGAAATGATACTAAAAGCTCATTTATTGGCTGTAATACAATAACCTAAATAATATTGATTAATTAAATGAATTAGAATCTAGATTAACTGATATTAATATTAGTTTAAAAGCTAAGAGATAAACAAAATCAGAAGATTTGAAAAAAAAATTTAATTTTGTATTGTTATTGAAAAATTTTTCAATTCTAGTTCTGTATATGTATAAAAGAATAAATAACTAGACTTTTATCTAAGATTAATGTAGAAACAGATATTCTAAAATCTACCTCCGTTTAATGAACATTTTTAAATGGCCCCGACAGTGTTTATAATAGAGAAGTTATACTATGTTGAGCGTTTCATAAGTCTTGAATACTCATGTCAATCTTTTAAATGTTATTATTATTAAACAATGTCTACTTGTGTAATAATAAAAATATCAACATGCGAATGTATGAATAAATTTTTTGCAATCGATAAATATGATTTTTTTAAGTCAATAACTATTGATTTTATTCAATTATTCGGCGCTCATTATGATTCACTGTTTACAAATACAGCTGAATTATACACTCAGCAATCGAATTGACATGGATATAATATGCGAAAGCGTCACGTGCAGAACGAAATACAAAGAACAGTAATTATATTTTGAAATTATTGATGAATCATTGATTAATTAAGTTTTACATCAAACCGGTGACGATATCTTTGCTGATGTATGGTTAACTGAAGGCGTATGTGCAATATTAAAGGACAACGTAGGAAGATAACAATTTTCAAGATTGAAAAAAGAAATAAAAACTCGATTGAAAGATAACTTGTCATGGTTGATAAAATTTCGAAGAGGCGTGACAAATTAATAAACAATGATCAACAATAAATACCTGATATTTAATGGAGATTTTTATGTAATCAGATTAATATAAGAATATTTTTCTTTTTTTTTAAATAAAATACTTTGTTGATTGATAATGTAAAATTTATTCCTACGTTCTCATGTTTATGTTTTTCTTATTGTAAACTAGGTGAATATAAGTTCGGTTGTATTAAGAGAAATCCAATCACATAAGATATAGAAGAATAGGTCAAAAACAAAACAAGAATAGAGAACAAGAAAAACATATATATGACTATGCATATATAGAGAGAAAGAGAGGAGTAAGGAGACAAAAAAAAATGGGAAACCCCACATAATAAGTGTGATTATGTCAAGACAAAAAATGAAAACATGCAATGATCTAATGCGCAGGAGAAATGTATGTATGTGATTCACCAACAAACTTTGGATGACTTCTTGACAACGTAAGAGAACATATTATCTAATAATATGTCTTGCAAAAGATCGACACGAATACTCAAGATTCATTGAAAAACCATTGAATTCAGAGTTTATTTTCTATCTGCGTATAAACTAATTTTGCCATGCCTCAAGACTGATTAAACATCCTACATATTGTTGAAGAAAAAGCTGAATGTAAGTTTGAAGACGAAGTTTTGCGGCCTATCTCCATTCTATCAACAGACCTTAGCAACCAAAGATACCAAGCATCAGACTCTTTTTCTAGAATTCCTTAGAGACAGAAAAAAGGTACTGAATGATATTAACAACACCACGCCGACTTTTCTCGAACATCTCAAAATCTTTCTCGAGGTTAAGAGGTCAACGATAATGCGTACTGATGTATTAATTTGCAATAGTTGCCATATGGTCAACATGAAAAAGTGTGAACTGATCAACTTATTATTATAGAAAATAATCAATATCAGCGTTTGTAAATTCATTGAAATACATAGTAATTATATTGATGCCTGTTGTAGTTATAATCGATATGTGGAGTAGGCTTATTTATCAGTTAAATCAATGTTTAAAACAATAATTATGTTAAATTAACAAAAATAGAATATAAAAAAAGAAAAGAAAAACAATGAGCGAACCACAATACGACAAATAAACAAATAGAAAAATTTCTGTTCAATATGTAGAAATAAACAAGATGGATCGTTTCTTTGGTGATCGATTACCTTTAAACACAACCATAATATTCGAGAGATTTTTCACTTTAGGTATTTTCTATTAGTATAATAAGGCTAAAGAATACACATAAGTTTCACATTTCAGTCGCTTTGAGACCATACGCGCTAACTAGCTATTTTTAATACGAAATCTATAATTTTTTCTTCAATTGTATTATTCATATTTATTACTTTTATGGGTAAAATTTGCCTGTCGTTTTACTTCGGTATATCACTAAAATTGCGAGACAAACATACTGTCTATCATTATAAAGAATAGTTTTTTTTTTATCATATTCTCTTGCTATGAAACCAACCATCCGTGTAGTCAAAGCATATTGATTGGAAATAAGTAATCATAATATTGATGTTTAATATTCAACTGCTAACACAGATAAATTACCTATTTATTGATTGGTTGATATATTGACTTCAAATCGATGGCGTCTAATGTTTCGACGGATTTAAATGTATTAAAAAAAGATTCAGCAAAATTCATTAAGAGTAATTCAGTTGAAATTTCTAATGAAGATTTCACTGTTGTATGGTTTGATCAACATATGGATGAAATTGAAAATCAAGAAGATGTTGAAATAACGAAAGGTTTATTACGACAATTAGATTATTATGTTTTATTTTTTACTAAACCTGATTTATGTATTAATTATATAAAATCTGTTTCAAAAGAAAACATATTTTTAATTATATCAGGTTCATATGCTGTTGAACATCTTGATAAAATGCATTCATTCAAACAAATTGATTCTGTATTTATATTCTGTTTTTGTGAAGAAAAATATTTACATTTGCAAGAAAAATATTCAAAAATAGTTGGTGTATTTACTGAACAACAAGGTTTAATTGAATCACTTAGACATACTGTTGATTTAGTTATAAAACAAGCAGCTGTTTTTGCTCTATTTGATGGTAAACAACGTTCAACAAGATATTTAACACGAGAATCAGGTGCATTTCTTTGGTTTCAATTATTAACTGATGTTTTAAAAAAAATAACAATAACAGATAAAAATAATACGGGAATGGAAGAAATGCTTACACATTGTCAAGCTTATTATCGAGGAAATCCTGTTGAATTGAAGAATATTGCAGAATTTAGAAAAAATTATGTAAGTTTATTTAAAAAGAAATACTTTATATTTTTTTGAATGAAATTTTTTTATTTATAAAGAAACCAGAAGATGCAATTTTTTGGTACAGTAAACAAATATTTGTTTACAGATTAGTTAATAAAGCATTACGTACAGAAGATATTGATGTTTTATATACATTTCGTACTTATATAACTCATTTACGTAGCCAAATTACTGCTCAACATAATAAATTACGTGAAGAATTTATAGATGACAAATCGACGTCAATTCATTTATATCGTGGATTAAAACTGACCGATAATGAAATTTTACAAATGCGTAATAGTCTTGGTGGTTTAATATCCATGAATGGATTTTTTTCAACAAGTCGAGATATTAAACAAGCGATTCGTTATGCAACTAAAGAATCTAAAAGAGAAGGTGTTGTTGGAGTTTTATTAGAAATATATGGAAATATTGCTTCTGATAAAATGATATTTGCTGACATTGCTCAATTTAGTCAATATCCAGAAGAACAAGAAGTTCTTTTTGATTTAGCAACGGTTTTTAAAATTGTTCATGTCGAATTCGACAAAGGAAGAAAACTATGGACTATACAATTATCAGGTAGTTTAATACTTCTTTTTTTTAATTTTCTTTCTTTTCAAGTTTCATAGAATAGTTAATATTCAAGAAAGCAGAATTATATTACTTAACCGTTGTGTAATATTGAATAGACTCTAATATCGATTAAGAAAATATGATTTTATCTATTAGTTATTATAGGTTTGTAATAATAATGTTACCATGCAGTAAATCATCATTGACATATATAAAAAAAAATACTAATTAAGTAGACTACATGAATTTCAACCCAAAGAACTTTCGATTCGAGCTCAGATCCCTCTTATTGATGTCCTTAGAAACTAGAAACCCTATAAAAATTTGGTGTACTTCTTAGTCTTAGTAGCATGCATTCTCACTAAAGCATAGTGCAAAGCAGTCTGTTTTGATTCGATGAGAAGTACTGTAACCTTTTGAGATAATTATTACATGTATGCAATTATTGATAACGTAAAAAGCGATGTACTCACATAGTATCACTAAATAATGTTCTTCTGATCCACCATGCACTAAACAATGTTTTTTCATTAAATGTTGTGAATTTTTAGATACTATCTTGCGAAAAGAAACCCTACGTCTGTAGTTTGATATAAATACGTGCTACTGATTAGTAATTTTCAGTGAAAATGAATACTACAAATTGTTAGTATTAATAAATCATCTCTTTCTACTTATTGTAGAATATTCTTTTTTTTGTGACACTTCCGTCATCGATGCTACATTCTGTAGATTATATAAAAGGTCAATGAAAGGTACTACAACGAATATACATGTCATTTTTTTTCTTTTCTGTTGTTATTGTGATTTTGATAGTGGATCGAAAAAAAATAACAATAATAATTCGTATCTGTCAGCCATCATCGTCTTCCCCACTTACTATCACGATCACAATAACAACAGAAAAGAGAAAAAAGGGAAAAAAAGTGAAGTGTCTATTCGTTGTGATATCTTTCATTGACCTTTTATAAAATCTGAAGAATGTAGCATTGACGATCGAAATATCACGGAAAAAGAATATTCCACAATAGCTAGGAAAAGACTTGCTAATACTAACAATTAATTATGTTCTCCCTTAATAAAACTGAATGCATACTATAAACCACTATGCTATCCGACTGATCACTACACTTTGAAAACAGTACAACCGCTAAGTACGATGAAGTGTACCAAATATTCATAGACATAAGGCTTTTTGTGACTACTAACAGAAAGAATTTGGGATCTGTCGGAAATTATCCCCTCCGAATTAAGTCTTTGAACATGATTATTTACTTGATTTCAATGTTCACTTGAGTTGATTGCACATACATCTTCAGAGATGGATCAAAACTGCGATTTTATTGTGTGATCTTATTCTATTGATTTAAAAAAACACATTAATTTAGTTGATGTCAGTGCTAGACTTTTATAGATATGAGCATGCAATAATGATAGACAGTATGATGCCTGAATTGTGAGGGAAACAACAGACTTGAAGACTGAGAAACTCTTTGAAATCGTATTCAATTGCTGTAAGATACGAAAAATACTCTTAATTATATGAAAAGAGTAAAAGAAAGTTTTGTTCTCTTTGTTTTCGGAAATTCTTTTTCGCAATGCATTTACTGTTAGGAACATTGCACAATATTTTTTTTAGCTGATTGCAAAAAAAATAAAAGTTCATATTTCTACTAAAATACGATTGTTGAAAATAAGACAGTTTCATCAGTTTTCTTGTAAATTATTCGTGAACTAAATGTATTTGAATAGTTTCAGAAGATTTCACGAATAAAATATCTGCTGTTTCTGTCTTAACAAGAATTTCTTGATTGACAAATAATGTCTCTAAAATTTATGATTAAAAAACACAACAAATAACATTGGCATTTTAAATTCTTGAAGTATATTAAAATAGAAACTATTCCTCATGAGTAAACGCGTTCTGTTAAAGTCTTGATACTGTTCATGATAGAGAAATTTTACTGTATTATTTTTAAAACTAAACACTGTTCTTTTGTCTTTTGTAGGTGTAGACAAGTTATCATATGAAGTAAATGAATATATTGAGAGTATAGAAAAAGAAACTGAAGAATCAGGCTCAACTTTATTATTTAGTCGATTGGTAAGTTATTCTTTCTTCTTAAATAATAATAGAAATAGATTTATTGAATTAGATGTGTGATATGGGTGAATATGAAAAATCTGAAAAATATTTAAAACGTCTTTTGTCAGATTTACCAAAAGATCATAAAGATATTCCAAAAATCAATTTTCATCTTGGTCGTGTTTCTTATTTTCTTAGTGAATATAAACAAGCTCTTGATTATTATGAACGTGCATTAGTTTTACAAAAACGTGAAATTCAACCAGAAGAAAAATCATTTGATATAGCACGAACATTACATAATATTGGAAATATTTATTTAGAACAAAAACAAATATCAAAAGCATTAGGATATTATGAACAAGCTTTAAAAATGAAGCGTGCAGTACTTGTTGATAATCCTAATCATCCATCAATTGCAACAACATTAACTGCTATTGGATCAATTTATAAGAAACGCGGAGATTATAAAAAAGCATTAGAATTATTTCAACAATCATATGACATGAAAAAACTTACATTAGCAGCAGATCATCCCTCACTCGGTGATTCATTAAATATTCTTGGAACTATCTATCAGGACATGGATGATTATGAGAAAGCACTAGAATGTTATAGAAGTGCATTAAAAATAAAACAGAAAACTTTACCACCGGTACATCCATCAATAAGTGCTACCTTAAATAATATGGGAGTTATTTATCGAAAAGAAGGAGATTATGATAAAGCATTGTACTATTATACTAAAGCACTTGATATCGAAAAAGCAACATTATCATCGGATTGTTTAGATATTGCTGATACTTATAATAATTTATGTGTAGTTTATTATGATCAATCACGATATGATGAAGCATTAGAAATGGCTAAATTAAAATTAAACATATTAAAGAAACATTTTGATGATGATGATGAACAAGTTCAAATAACAAAAAATATTATTGATGATTTAAATGAAGATATAACTAAACACTCTAACACAAAGAAACATAATACTGCTCCTGCTGAAGTATTTTTTTGAATTTATCAATTGTTTGTGTATTCAGATAATTTTCTTTTGTAATCTTTTTATTTTTGTCTTTTCTAAAACAATACATACAATCGATGCTATAAATATGGTAATAGGCATAGCTGAATAAAAGCGTAAGTCGGTCAATTACTTAGATCTAATTCTTAATAAAATAGAAACATAGAACATGAAATCTGGTATATTTCTCTTTTTTTGCTGAATTCAAACAGAAAATTTTCGTGCACTAACTTCCAGTTTTAAGGAGACACTCCGCCTTTCCCAATCTAAACTTTTCAAATATTTCGTTTTTCCTGCTCTACATGCGTTTCGAGGTGTCCTTCATCTGTAGATGCTGTTTTGAGAACTAAATCGTTGCTCTAAAGTGCAAAAAAAACATCGAAAAGATAAATCAATCGTCGTAGTGATATAGAACATTTTTTTTTCTTTCTATTCTGGTTTTCTCTAAACTTGGTTTTTAAGCAAAACCTTAAGGAATAGCTCCGTTACACAAAGAATGTACATTCGATCGATCTGAAATTCTTTCTATAAGTACTACACTCTATTTTGGGTGCTTGCTTTCTTTTCATTTTAAAAAATCGTCCATCGATGACTTTTGGCTTCACATCTTGAAAAACTTCATATATTTCACGCTACTGATCTTATAGAGTTTGTAATCATGTTAACAAATGTGAAAATGTAACTCTTCCTAAGATTACCAGAGTACAAACTAATTCTTTTTCATACTGCCCAATATTCACTCCATCGAAAAATCATTGCTTTACTAAAGAGGCTTTCTCTGATTATGAAACTGTAACTGGAAATTTCGAAGCATCGACTAAAGATTTGGGCTCACAGTTCTCAATTTACTTTCTCAACCTTTTATAAAATATTATTATTTTCTCAAGAAATCCTATCCTTGATCAAAACATCAGGTTGAAAATTTCAAAAAGAAAACTCGCTCTACATTTGGATTTCTCAACTCTGACTTTTTTTGGTCAACCTTTATAGAAAAATCTTCATATATATTCATGGGCACGTGCCGGTATATATGACTGCAAACAAACACATAAACTAGCAAACTCATTCTATTTCATATGAATCAGAGTGCGAAACGAATGAGAAAATCTATATTCGATTCGATTCGATTCGTCTTCCACTAAGAGTAGAAATAATGCTACTGTTCGCGTACACCATATTTGACATACATGTTCTGCTTGTTTCTTCGTCAGGTATGTATTCTATTATTTTCCTCAACTTATCTATACGTGGTATTTCCATACCCGTTTTGTGATCATTTAGTTCTGTAACACCGTCTGTATGTAAGAAAACAGATTTTACAGAATAAAATTGCTCGTTAAACTTCTACGTCGATCATTCTTATAAATAAGATTGTACTTAATTCTTGAACAGTCAAAATTTCACAACATGAGCGCATGTCGCAAAACTGAACCAGCGAGAACCAACTGCTAAGAAAATTAACCAAAACACGTAACCATAAAATCATAAAAGGTCGTTTTCTTTGTACTCCTTCATTTAAAAGCAATAACCAAAACATTTGAAAAAGAATAAATGAATAGGCTTAATTAAACAGGATCGATATGAATAGATAAACATGTCGCTTTACTTATACATGTCTATCGTTAAGAATAAATATATTATTTCTATTATGAAATTTATTAAGTCAAAAGACTCTCTTTACAGTTGTCAATAACTATAGATCAATAAAGTGTTTAACTTATTGAAGAATCATTAGATTATATCATACATATTCGTTATTTGATTACACGTTCATAGTTAACAAATGTGTTTCAATAATTAGAGAAAGTTAATTACAACTCCGAAATTGGTGTTGTGTTCTCTTTTATGTGTTGTTCATGCGAATTAAATCGAGAAAAACAAGATGATGATAAACATGGACAAATGACAGCAGATCAATAGGTAAATTTTTTTGTTTTATTTTAAATTTAATTGACTTAAAAACTAAAAATAAAAAATTTTCATTTAGAGTTTTGAATCAGATACAAAAATCAAATCATCATATATCAAAATTAATACTTGATGCATTTAAATGTGCAATGAATTCAGCTGATGAGCTTTTATTTCATCATCATTTATCATTAGATAATCCAAATTATCATCTAAGGATTTTATATATCATTTGTACTGAAAAAATGGCAAGTTTCTGATAATGAACCAAATCAAGCATTTGAACATATTATTGTAGTATCTGGTATGAATTTGTATCAATATATAACTAATGGTGAAAGATGACGAAAAAAATAAAAACGAAGAAATATCGATACTGTCAGATGTATGCGTTATGAAAAAAAACAAACTATGGTATTGATTAGATGAAATAAATTTTTCTATACTATCTTACCTTTCGAATCATTTTTTTTTCTATTTAATATACACATGCACATTGTACATATTTTTTTCGATGCGTTATGTTCTCGATTGTATGATAATACTTATTTAATTATATTTCGAAATAGTTCTATTATTATTTCAAGTTTTTCTATTAATTTGTGTTGTTGTCTTGTAAAAGGTTTGTAAGTGATTTTTTTGCGCTCTTTATCTCTTTTTGTGTCTTCTGGTTTTTCCATACCTTTTTTACTATTCTCATACTTATATTTTTACTTTTTTGCCATTAGTTGGACTATCATATTCATATAGTAGGCAATTATTATGTAATACTTAAAAAGATAGTTATATTTCTTTGATCAATGATTTTATTACTTTTTTCTCAAAATTTTTTGACATTGAAATTTGAGTTATTAAAATTTTCAACCTCAAAAAAAAAAATAATTATATTAGGGGACAATTATGAAAACACATAAACTCTTGAAATTTATCAATAGAATGATTGGCAAATAATTTAGAAGGTTTTCGAAGTTCACTTTCATTAAAACAAGTTATTAAAAAGTTTAATTGTTTATGATCTAGATATTTTAATGCATTGATTAAAAAATTGCTATTGTTGAGTCGACAATAAAATTCTCATGAGTTTTTTATAATTTCTTTCGTAAGAATTTGGAAGCCAAGATTGAATTCGTAGAGACTTCGAGCTTGATGTCTTCAAATCTATTGAAAATTTTTGAAAACTTATGAAAATCTTTTTAAGTTTTTTTTTGAAGAAATTCTGAAGTGCTCAAGTCTTTGTATGTAAAATCTATTGAAATTTTTCGAAGTCTTCAAGTCTGAATTATCTCCTTATCTGAACCAGTGTGTAGAAAAGGTCTTATTTGGGATAGGCTTGACACACCTGTAACTTACTTTATATTATTTTTAATAAAATAATACTTTGATGATAGTTGAATACAAGCAGAAAGCTCTTGTTATACGAAGACAATGAAATTATATGTATATATCACTATGACATAACTATACGAAACATTTATTGATTTAATATAATATGTATCTATCGAAAACAAACAAGAAAAAAAAATACGTTAATATTCAGAAAAAATTCAGTTTTTTGAGTAAAAATGTTTTGAATAAATTGAATGAATCTATTGTCAAAGTCAGAGTCAAATAAACGTAGACATTTTCTTGATAACTTGAAAACAAAAAAAAAGGAGAAAAATTAATCAAATTTTTAATACTATCTACAGTCAATATTGCTTTATTTTTTCTGTCAGAAAATTTATGAAAAATTCCCTTCGATTTTCTCCTTACAAAATATTATTCTTGACTTCCTCCATTCTTTCAAATTAAGGTTAACTATGTAGATTGTATATTAAATATGCGAAAACAATCGAACTTCACAATAACTCTATTATCAACAAACAAAATTTAGTATTTCATTTCATAGACAGCAAAAGTATTGTCATGAGAAGCATGAACACTTGCTTTAAAATTTAGAAAAACCTGAGAAAATCATTTTTTGACGAGTCTATTCTATAGTATAGTCTGCAAGATGGAAACAAACAACGCCTATAACAAACTCACAATGTATGAAAATCATAAAATATTGTATAAAACTCAAAATTCAACTCATTATTAAAATATACATTTTTGATTTCCATTGTGGTACGAAAGGATGCGATTGAATGCATCTGTGAGATATGAATGTAGGTGTATGGATGATCGATGGAAAGCCCAGATTAGTCAGACTCAAGTCTGGTGGACAGAATTTAGCACTGGTAAACTAACGAGGGAACGTTTTCTTAACTGTCCAATCGCTTTTGAGTTCTAACTCTGTTCATAAGGTGAACCACATTGAAATATGATAAACTCTAAAAGGATAAATTCCTCAAATCTTCTGTTTAGAGTTATAGATATTTTATTGAAATTTTAGGCTATGACATGATATATGTATATAACAACAAATCGAATGACCGTATTTTGAACTGAGATTTTGCCCACAAACTGGTTTATGTATAAGTAAAAAGTCTTGAAAATTTTAGATCAAAAATATGTTTCCTTCTCGAGGTATTAAAGTATCAAAAACATACAATTCTAGCATCTTTCATGAGATATGAGTGATATTTGGGACTTTGACATCTTGGAAAGAAAACTTTTTTTTGAACTGAAATTTTCAAGATATTTTACCTATAAATACACCAGTTTGCAGACAAAATCTCAGCTTGAAGATCATTCGATTTGTTACTATATACCATATCATAGGTTAATATTATAGTAAAATGTCGATAACTCTGACCAGAAAGTCTACGAGGATCTATTCTTTTAGGATTTTTCATATCTCAATGAGGTTTACTTAATGCACAGAGTTGAAACTCAAAAGTGATTTAACAATTACAAATGTTCCATTGTAAGCTTTGCATGAAGTACTATAAGACTTTATCACATTGGATGTGGGTATGGAGGTTGATGTCAGTGTGGTTACGTGTAGATGTGAGTGTAGCCTTAGTGGATGAGAATAGACATCCATAAAACCAACACTCTGATTAGTATCCTGCATCGGATCGGGTTTTTAAAGCTGGCACATCTGTCGCTATACATAGCGGCTATAACTAGCAACAGATGTGCCGGCTTTGAAAATCCGATCCGATGCAAGACACTAACCCAGATCGACACCCCACATATACATCCTGCTGACACTCACACACTCCAAAACTGTATCATGTACTTGTGAGAAGATATGCCTTACAACATTTAAAATAACTAATTGACAAAAAAATTCCAATATAGATAAAAGGCTATTTTGGGTGTTATTAGTCCGATAATTATATCTCAGTCAAAATGAATTCGTTATATTTAAAAATTTGGCTGTGTTCCTAAAAATGTTAGTTCTGATAATCGGATAACTTTCGTCGAAATTTGAAATATCAATTGAATGTAGTCCAGCGCGGCTCTTATGTGATGACTCGTAAGATTAGTTAGTTGACGAAAAACTTTCTTTTGTATTCAGCAAAAAAAAAGCAAGATAAATAAATAGTATCTGATGATGTCCTTTTATGTTAAAAATTAAATCGTTAAGTTTTTCATATTTTAGAGACGTCGAATACAATTTTTATATTAACTAAAGGATTCTATCGAAGATGAATATAAATGTACTCTTGGTTTTGCTATTAAATCTTTCTTCGATTTCAAACAAAAAATGATTTCTTTGTATGACATACATCTATATTAACAAAGCGCCATATTGATATTGTTCTCATTAATGATCATTTTAGGTTCGATATCATGTCAAATAAAAAACAAAAGAAACGAGAAAAGAAAATTTCTCGTAAATCAATTCATTACATTCAACTTCGAACACATCGACAATGGCCCAATCAACTGAATTATATGTCTCATTTAGAAGTATATCATTCGAAAATCAAATCGATTACATATGATATTGATCGTCTTTTAAATAGCAAATGGATTTATATTCGACAACCACAAGTGATTAATCAATTCAATGAAATTTATCAACAAGAAATTAAAAATTATTTTTTACATAGAGTAATTTAAAGAAAAATCAAAGTTTTTTTGATTATTTTGTTTTTCATTTTGTTTTCCTTTTTAGATAAATTTATTTGATTATAAATATTCTTGTTTAAATAATCAATTTGATGAAAATAATAAATTCATACGAGAAATTTTTATTCGTTCAATTGAAATAACTGATTATCTATTATATTTATATCAACAAATAGAAAATAGTGAACGTCATATTTATGAATATCGTTTAAATATATTAAAATATGAATTCGAACAAGAACGAGAATCTTTAAGACATTTATTTATTGATCAACACTTTTATGAACTTGATAATCAAATAAATATTTTAAATGTTATTGAACAAGAAGATACTCTCAAACAATATATTCAATTTAAATTTGAAAAACAACAATTAAAAGAAAAATTTGTGAAAGATATCACTATGTTACATGTTAATTTTAAAACACAAATTGCTTTTTTAAGATTAACTATAAACAGAGTTAGTATCAATGGAATACTTCCGTTTCTTCGAGATTATCTCAAGACCTAATTCATATTTGCCAGTAAATATGTTATCTAGTGAATGTAGTGAGCTCGGGTTACCATGCTACCAGTATGTCACAAAAATCTTCGCATATTCAACGGCTTTTTAGCACTCGACTACAAAATATTGATATTACTAACTTGTTGAAAATATTTTTTTTTGTAGAGTGCTATAGAAACTGGGCAGAGTATCTTGTAAGTATCCGTATATTCAGACAGTTCTCAGAAGAATGCTAAACCCAGAATCTGTGACATACTCTAGTGTAATAGGATGTGCGAAAAGGTACTCTGCTGACAACTAACTCAGCGCATAGGTACATTGAACTGTGTGCATTCACGAAGGTTCTCATGCATTGTAAAAATCAAAGTAAATAACAGAAATTAAGAAAAATAAGACATTAAACGAATTGGAAATAAAAGAAATTTATTAAACATATTCACTGAGGAAAGCACTATGTGAGAATTAGTTGTTCTAACACAGATGAAATTTTAATGCCGAAACTAAGAATTAATGTTGAAAAATAGTTGAAAGTCAAACATTACTTGTTTTTTCCGTAAAAATCTTACTCTAAATGAAAAAAGTCTGTCAGTATTCTTGTTAATAGCATCTTTATCAGGTTAATAGCAAAAGAACCGTTATTAGTCAACTTTGTACAAGAATTTGATATATTCTTTTTTTGTGTACTCAAAAAGTGAGTACACTACTAAAATCGGTCAGTGTGTCCGGCCGTCCGGCCGTCCGTTTATTCGATAACTTTTGAAAGGAGAGTCAGATCGCGATGAAATTTTCTACACAGATCAGTCTTGACAATATCTCGGTCGAGTTCGAAGATGAGAAGGATCCGTCAAGAAATGACTGAGTTATCGAAAAAATTGTGATTTTTGACGAGACCATCCCTGAGGGGGGGTACGGGAATTTTTCGAAAAAAATTTTTTGCTCATAATTATTCACAAAATACATAAATCGACTCAGTTTTTAACGCTGATTCTGAATCTGATATTAGTTTTGAACCGAATCATAGTTTTGTCTACTCAAAAAGTGAGTACACTATAGAATAGTCAGTGTGTCCGTCCGTCCGGTTGGCTGTTTACATGATAACTTTTGACAGCAGAGTCAGATTGCGATGAAACTTCCTACACAGCTTAGTATTGACAATATCTCCGTCGAGTTCGAAGATGAGAAGGATCGGCCGAGTCGTTCCTGAGTTATTTCAAAAATACCCATTTTTCTCTATAGCTTTCTGTGGAAAAATCGACCCATCGCCGCTTTCGTAAAAGACTTTTCCTATCATAGTCAAATAAAACCCCAATTATTATATACCATTCGATAGAGAATTTCAAGAGCTACAAAATCATATATAAAGCATAGAGAAACAAGAAGGTTGACTCACCTATGACAAGGATAATTAAAGAGAACTAGGTTATATTTTGGTCCACGATTTAATTGATCCACAAATCGAGCTCTAGCTTCCGATCACACTGATGATACTTCGAGGTTTTCAGATATGGAGAACTCGAATATGTACTGCACTTCTATCGAAATACTATTAGTTGTGCAGTGACCAATAGAAATGAAGTTATAGGAAAAACGACTTTCTTAGGGTAAATCAAGGGAAAGAGTTCAAACTTGAGCTGTATTTGGCCCATGTCCTATTGGTTTGGCAACGCGTAATAGAAATCAACATTTTAAATGGCAGATTTCACAGTATAATTTTGATATTCAGACAGTCTAGGATGATTGATTTGTATGATTCACTTTTTGAAGTACACATAACTCTCGGATTTAAATCCGAAGTTTCCGCATTTATTTTTTATTAACTACTAGATCATTGTTTAACATATTCTATGCACATAAAAGTTTCCAAATCACATACTATAAGTTTTTTAATTTCTAAAATTCAGTGTAAATAGTCGTATGAAAAGTTTTTTTACAAAATAAAGCATTCTTCAGCTCTCTCTCTACGACATTTTTTTTACTGAGATACATCAGTCTCACGAATAGACATAGCAATGATGTTTTCATCCGAAACAACTAGAAATAATTGACTTATATACTTTTCGTAAAATTGGTTATAGCTTTGATCAAAAAACATCGTAGAGAACTACAAGATATGTCATTCTGAGTTACTCGTACAAAATCCTAGGAGTTAAAAAACTTAGTTGTAAGTTTCTCAGAGACTCTATCTTTGAGAAAATAACAATCATTTTCAAAAATTTTCGTTGGAAATAAAATTTTAGCGTTTACCATAGGGAAAACAAAGATTGAAAATGAACGTGACAAATTATCTGTTTGTAAAATCAATAGATGCGAAAAATATGTCTTACTTGAACAGGGTTTTTTTTTGAATAGTTCTACTTATAAAAGTAATTTACTAGAATTATTTAATATAAATTATAATCTGAGATATTATTTCTCATACACAGATAATCCATTCAAATGAACAACAAACGAACATAACTTCCAAACATTGTCATTACTTACATGAAAAAACACGTAAAGCAAAAGAACGTATTAATCAAGAAATAAAATCAATTTATATATTAAAAAGAAAAATTAAAGAAACAAGAACTCGAATTGAACAAATTGAAGGCAATAGAAATCATGTTAATGATAAACTTAATCAACTTAAACAATGTTCAGATTATCATCAAAGTAAATAAAAAAAAATAACAACATGATTAAGAAAACATATTATTTGTAAATAAATATCTAGATAATTTAGTTTCAAAAAACAAATTTTCCAATATTTTTCGGCAAAATAAAAATGAATTAATCTTACGTCGTCTATCTGTTCTTATTGATAATATTCAAAAACAATGTCAAAAAAAATTATTTAAAGTTGAACGTATATTATTATTAATAAATCAATGTCATCGATTAGAATTAGAAGATGAAAATCTTCTTTTAACAATGTCAAAAATTGATTTTAATCAAATAAATAATAAAATTATATCACAAATTCATTATCTTCATAATTGTCATTTTGAATTTGATTCATTTTTTGATGAATTATCATTATTTTGGAAACGATTTGCTCATGTTCAAATGGATATTTATATTCGAATTCAAGAAAAACATTCTCTAAAAAAATTTCAAACATTTTCTCAAAAACAATTAAAAATTTTCATTTAAAGTTCTATTCGAAAAATAATAATCTGGTGTTGCTTCAAGTAAATGACGAATCAATTGAATTACTGTTTCATTTTTTGAACTTAATGCATCTGTATAAGTTTTTAATTTAGTAAAACGATATTGATAACGATATAATGATAAACCTTGAGTATATTGATATAAAGAACTACGTTCTGTATCATGTAAAATAACAATATCACTTCGATGTGAATATCCCATTAAATCAAATTGACGTCGTGGTCCTGGTCGATGATCAATAAATACAACAGTCCAATTTTTATAATATGCAAGATTTGATGAAGCCCATTCGATACCCATTTCACTTTTAATTTCAACATATTTTAATTGATGAAAAGTGTTATTTTCGGCAAAAGAAGAAAAATGATTAATCCATCGAAGATCAGAATCTGCTGATAAAAGAAAACGTTTTTGTTCCAATGCTAAACGATGTAATAATGGAGTACTTGTTGTTCCCATGCCTAATTCAAGTATTGGACCTGATTTTGTAGCATATAATGCAGCAAGAAGAACAATTGCATGTGAACCATAATGATTATCAAGTGGTAATTGTAAATATTTATGAATCATTCGATTCCATTCTATTAAAATTCTATCTTCTTCAATTATATTTAAATATTTTTCAATATTTAATATTTGGTTTTCAATTTTCGTTATTCGATTTTCATTTGTTTTACTTAAAGAAAATGAAAAATAAAAAATAACTAATAATGCAGTGATACTACCACCGATTAACAGATGAATTTTCATATTGTTGTTTTAATTCGTTTTGTCCTTTAAAATTCGAACAAAACTTTTGCGTTTGTATTTATTTTACTAAATTCGAATAGAAGAGAAAGAGCGAAAAAAATTCTTCTGACATTAAAAAGTAATGTAAAAGAATCAACTTGTTTTTTTTTTCTTCATTGCTGAATTTTATGTTTACTTTAGTGTGTAATAGATTAAGATGTAGTGCATATTGTTGATCATTTAAAAAGCATTTTTTTCAACGGCATCCTAAATAAGTTATGTTTATCATATCATCATGTTTTTTTCTCTTATGTGCACATTTTTCACTTGTTTTATGCATCCTGTAAAAGTACGACTTTCTTTCCATCTAATTGTTTCTTGCATACAGATGGTGGTTTTTTAATTAAATTTTTCTTCTAATATCTCACTGGATAGATCTCTAAAAGTTAAATAAGTTTTGTTTTTTTTTTTGTCAGAAATAGATATGTAAAATTCGTCCTTCACTGTAACTGAGTGACATCAAATACAAATACTATGTAAAAAATACTCATGGAGAACCTTGGTAGTTCTCATTTAGTTTTCAAAAGAAGAAAACTTTTTTTTTTTATCATATTTTCTTTAGAGCGCATTGATTTACGATGACAATATGTGTAAATATATTCTGTCAATTACTTATATTTTCTTTGTTTGTATAGTGTCGATATCGAAACGATTTGTACCGTAGAGTTTAGTGGCACAATTAGAGATATGAGACTCCAATAGGTGCTTTGAGGTGTTCTTTCGCCGATAGAATATATGTCAGCTAAACTTTGCCACACGCCCTTCAATTAGACAGAATCTAACCATCTGGGATCTTTTCCTCATCTGAAGAACCTGCTCATATTAAGCCTCACTCCTGTCAAACCTTGGTTACATCTCTAGTAGAGTTGAATTAAAGATTTTGATACGACTATACGTAAAAATCAGTCTTAGAATGTAGTTCATAGATCTATTTAAAATTTGTTTTACTACATAAGATATAATGATACTCTGAATGAATCGAAAATTCGACTGTCAGAGACATCTATAAATCATATTATATTGACATTTATAAAAATAATTTCAAATAGTATTTCAATATTAAAGTATGATTATTTAAAGAACTTTTCATAAAAAAAATAATGAGGATTTCAATGTGGAATTTGACTGAAATTTAAACCAATGAAATTAAACTAAAACAAATCAATAAACAACAGACATGTACTTTTTTTTCTATTTGTTTCTTCGATATTATATACAGAATAGCATAAATATATATTCTTATTTAACTTTAATATGTTGATTATTAATTATAGATTTCCATCTTAAATTATGGGACCAAAAAAAGAAACAAAAGAGGCTTCGGCTTCAGCAAAAAAGAAAGATACTCCAACTGCTACAGCAACAGCTAGTGCCAAAAAACCTACAAAACCAACAGGTAGTGCAACAACAACTACTACGAAAGTAGTTACTAAAGAACGTAAAGAAAAGGTTAAAACAACGGCACTTAAAGCTAAACAACGAGTTGTTCGGTAAATAAAATAAATTTTCTCAATAAACAAATAAAATTTACAAAAAAATTTTCTAGTGGAAATCAATTAACACGTAAGCGTAAAATATATACGAAACCAAGATTTCGTCGTCCATTTACACTTCGTTTACAACGTCAACCAAAATATCCACGACGATCGGTACCAAAACGAAATCGTCTTGATCATTTTGCTATTGTTAAATATCCGTTAACAACAGAATCGGCTATGAAAAAAATTGAAGATAATAATACATTAGTATTCATTGTCAATATTCGTGCCAATAAACCATTAATTAAACAAGCCGTCAAAAAAATGTATGATGTTGAAGCTGAAAAAGTCAATACATTAATTCGACCTGATGGAGAAAAGAAAGCTTATGTTAGACTTAAAGCTGATCATGACGCACTTGATGTTGCTAATCGAATTGGTATTATATAAACTAATAGCCAAAACGATACAAGAAAAAGCAAAAGAAGAATTTTACTATATGTTTTTTTTTTCTTCTTGTTTGTTTACGCTCAATTTTAGAAAACCAACAAATAAAAACAAACATAATTGAGCATTAAAATCTTCTTTTTTTTTATTATCTCAATCGTAATTTCGAAATAATATATACTTTTAGGATAAAAGTATAAATTTAACATAGAAATTACACGAAAGATGATAGAAGTTTCAGTCGAAATAGCAAAGAACAAAATTTTTTAATGAAAGAATTGCTTTGAAAATAAAATATCTCTTCCTTCCTTCCCAGAATAAAAAGTACGTTTGGAAAACTTATAGCTTTTTATTCTTGAGATGAAGGAGTATCTTCTTTTGATTAGTCTTCTGAATTATTCATATTAGATTATATTTTATTACTCTTGAAGGCTCCTCTTTGCAATATCATCTCTTGTCTAGTGTTTCTCATAACTATACAATTGCATTGTTTTTTTTTTTTATTTTCAATTCTTTATGAACAATAGCAAATCATAAATGCTTCTGTATGGTTTTCATACTATTTATATATGCAACGAATTTGAACGTTCAGGCTCAATGTTAACTGAAGTCATTTTCGATTAATTAATAAAGGGAAGTAAAAGTAAACTAAGAGAAAATATTTTACTCAATGATGCTTAAAACACTTGAGCTCGAAATTTGGTCGAATTTTAGAGTGCTTCAATCGTTGTTCATGTGCCTCAAAAAAAAGTACATGGGCACATGATCTATATATTCGTCATTAATGAGCTCGATCTGGTTATCGGAAATGATGAAGTGCAGTTTGACATAATAGAAGATGTTATTATTCAATTTTCATTTCTTGAATTAATGATATGTTTAAGCATTAGTTTTTATTGAAAGTCAATCAATAACTTCATAAGAATAACAATAAGAATGAATAGAGAAAAAAAGCACCAAAAAATAAATGACAAGCAAAAAGAAACAGATCAATGAAAACAATTCTCAAAATAAATTTTCAAAAATCCATAAAAAAATTATAAACGACAAATGATAATAATAATCATTCGTTGAATTCGTAATTTTAACTTAAATAACTTGGCATTTTGATACTAAAATAAAATTTAAGAAAAATTCTTCTTTTCTGTTTAATTTTTCCAGGAAGAATTTTTACCGAATAAAAATTTTAGTTACACAATACGCAACAAGAATAACGATCACTGAGCAAAGAATCATTAAAATACGATTAAGACGCTGCATATTTGGTTTGTTTGTTTGATCAAGTAAAATAAATCTAAGACCGCCTAACACAAACATAAATGAAGCAGCGAGACCTTCCATTATATATTGTCCATTAATACGCTAAGCCATAAAAGCAATTGGTTTATGATGACCATATGCATCGGTTGTACTACCTGAATTAAAAACATAAATATAATTGAGATCAAGTCTGTTTTCTTTTTCATTCTACTGACGAACACTAGGCGGTTCAATGATAATATCATAGATAACATCAGCAGTAACAAGAAAATAAGATACATGTAATCCAAATAAAACACTAAAAAGTAGAAATAAATATACGTGAGATTTCCAAGGAACAATCTTACGTATTATTTGATGATTTTCGAATCCATGATGGTTTCTTTAGTTCTACATTTGGGCATTGAATAAAAGTGAAAGGGATTCGATAGAGATTTCCCATTATCTTTGTTATTTTTCTTAACCAAAATAGGTCTGGAGAAAAGAAGTATTCTCGTCACAAAGATTTCTTTCGTTTTATTGGAGCTTTCAGCATTAAAACAACCTATGCTGGTAACTAGGCATTTCAACTCAGCAAACTCACACAACACAATTATCTTCAGTTAGTTCGGAGACCAATAACAGGTTGAAACAAGACATAAGCATCGTACAGCGACAGCTATTGATATGTTTTATAGGAAAAAGTTCGATTTTATACAAGAAAAAAAGTCAAGTTATATCATCTTCATTGATTATGCATTGAAAGAAACGACACAAATGTTATTCAATAAGACACATCTCATCAGCGCATAATGTGTCATCATTGTAACCTGTCAAACATTTTCGAACTCATCCGATTCGACAAGAGAGTCCGAAGACTGAGAAATAAGAACACCTTTTTAGCTTCCCCGTAACTGTATGGTCCGAATTTCTATCACTATACCTTCATACTTCTTCTAGATTATGTTTCACAAAAAGTATTGTGTTAGCTTTTATGAAAGGTGAAATTGTGTGAAAGCTGATAGACAATTCTCGTCTTCTTGAAACATTATCATAAATTGGTGGAAAGTTTCTCCACAACTTAGGAATTTCTATCTCTTGATTTCTAGACATTGCCGCTTTACAACCAGATTGAAGTGCTCGATTTGATGATCCAAGTCAATCGGTCAAAAATCAATCTGTTGCATATATCAATGAATAAGCTGTTCGTTTTTGAGAAAAGAGTATCAGTATAACTGCATGAAAAGATAGTGTGTGGAATTGAAATAACTGAGTTTTCTAATTATGAAATTCAGTATTTGACCTTCAATTCAAACTTTTTCTTGTTTTCTACTCTTTGGGTCAAATTTTATATGAACTAAGAATCACAATCTGTTGACACACTCAGTAATACGAAAGAAAAGTTTATTTTTTCATATCTTTTACATCTCGTTCACATTTTGATCTGATATAGATGCTGGTCACGGCATTTTACATATTCTAAAGTTACTTCTTTTTCAGTGTAATTTTTAATATTTCTTGATTAATTTTTAAATAATCAAAATCCTATAATATTTCCGTGTTTCACATCTCAATTTTTTCTTAAATACAATTTCAAAAATCAAAAACTGGAATAAAAAAAACATCAAGTTCCACAATGATTTCCATTCAGATTCAAAATACGTTGCTTTGTGGGCTACTTCTCATCATTTGCGATCATAAGTCAAATAAAATTTTAAAATATTGTTAAAATTTTAAACTCTAGTCGACATTAAAGTTAAAAAAATAAACTATTTCTTTTTCCAAAACTACAAAAAGTTAATTAATTCAATTTTCAAGTTTTGATTGACAAATGCTCATATTTAACAATTTTCACTTTCAAGTTCGAATCGCATAAAGTTTAGGAAGATATAGAGTTCGCTGTTGTTTTCTCTGTAATTTCTGTTCTGGTTTAGGAAGATGTAGAGTTAGCTGAAATATCTAGCATAAATCTAACTGAACATAAAAAAAGATTTAAAAGTGTCGCCTATAGTCTGTTTGAAGCTAAGTGAATGCGGTCTGAAAGTATCACTTCTCATTTTGGAAAATTAGTGTAAGAATATGGTAGCAAAACAAAATTAGTTTCATATTTCAAGGGATTTGATTGAGAAAGCTTTATCAGCTTTGAGTTAATTATGAATTATGCTATTTCCAAAAAAAAGATTTAAAAAGTGAGATGTAGTGTCCAGTAAATTGTTTTACAAAAGGCCAATGAAATCTTGCCGTATTTTAAACTAGATCACTGAAATAGGTTGATCGCGTGAGATTTTTTTCACAAAACCTATTTTCGAGCGTAGCAAGATCATTTGATTTAGTTCAGGTAATGAATCTTAATCTTAATCAGGAAAGCTTTGAGGAAGGTGATATTCTTAATTGTCATAGTGAAAAACGAATCCTAATATAGCTCGAGTAAGGGGCGAAAAAGAAAAGAAAGTTTTGATGAAGATTGAAGGGAGATTTTGAACTGTTTCTCTCATGTTCCACAAACATGATTCAATATCCATTCACCCAGGCAGACAATAAACGGCCAGAAAGGCGTTTAAACGCGTTAAAAAAGCGTTTACACCGTTTTAACTCGTTTAAACGCGTTTACGACTGAATTTTTCACTTTTAAATCGTTTTTACAGTTTATTTTCAACTAAATTTGACAAAACCATTAAAAACGCCCCAATTTCGTGTTTTTTTCGAAAAAAACGTTTTAACAGTATTTTTCCGTTTTGCTTCGATTACGAAAAAAACAATCAAAACTACAAAAGTTTTATTATTATGCTGTCAGTAAATCATGTGCATCGTTACTAACTAGTTGTTAGTAGGTGATAGTCTGCGCTGCTAATCTGTTACTAATGAGTAGTAAATTTTTAATTTAACTATTCTGTAATAGTTATACCTGTTTGAATGTATCTAAATCATGTAACACAACATAGTGAGTAATCAGTCTGATTACTTTCTAGCAAGTAATAAGTTTTACAATTCGTTGTTTATAAGTAACAGGCAACTGATGGTTAGAACATGTATCTTTTCCTAATAAACAGCAAAGAATCAGGTTCGATATTTATTATTAGCAAACAGAAATTTTAAATCAAGAAAATTCTGTTATTGTCATTAAGTCGAAGTCAAAATTGATAGCAGTATAACGATCTTACTGAAAATACTTCGCGTAGTGAGTTTACATATTCTATATTGATGTATTGCCAGTGTATCTACTCAGCAATATTCCACTGTCAATTGAAAACCGTTAAGACAAATATTGTTCGATGTTAATATCTGATGAGAATGTAACAAGGCTTATCTTTGATTTGCTGCAGAGTAACTGCCATAAACTGATTTGCTTAACAGAAATAGGCGTGCAGCACATCTCATGCTGAATATCTTTAACAATCAGCGTGTAGACAATTAACGTTATAGTGATTTGTTCAATGAATATTATAACATCATCTTAACCAATATTGGTTTATTTTACTGCACATTTAAGAAGATTAATTCTAGCTCAGTTGTATTTTGTGAATTATAATAAGTGCAGACAAATATTGTTAACGCTCAGAAACTAAATGGAAGGGGGAAATCATCATTAATGTTATTACATGTTAGTATATCATACTAACAACATAAACGATTCCTTCCTTCTTAGATTATATGATAATCATAATCTTCTCTATTTCTCTTTTAAAAGTGCAAGTACGTATGGGCAACAATCATGTTTAACCAAGATAAACAAGTTATCCTGTTCTCATATAGGTTATAATTAAAAAATGACATAGAGATTAGCTGTTTCAATAAAAGTTTCAAAACTTGACTATTGTATATTTCATCTAGTTATCATCGTCACATAGAAACAGAGTTATCATCAGTCCACATTTGCAAGAAATTTTTTCCATTCTGTCTTTTCTTTCCGTCCGTCCAGTTCACAGAAAAAGGAAAAAAGAGGTCATTCTTTTATCACTCTCTCGTCCGATTATTCGTCTGTTCTTTTCATTTGGAATTCATTTGTGTTCTGTTTCGTTCACATAGTTGCCTAACTGAGTAGGCCATTTTATTTCTAACGTATACTTAAAGTTAATGTGAAATTCACTATATGTAATGGCACATACTTCTTTTGTGTAAGACTGGATATGTTCGAATTAGATAAGTTCTTTTCTGCGGAAATCACTCAGAACGAGAGAAAGAATAGGACACTTACTGCATGGCTATTAATAGTGAGTTTCTGTGAAAAATACTTCAATATTCACTAGGTTAGTGTTGACTTAGACATAACATGTACGATACTTATGACAATACAACTAGCAGAGTCGCTCGCAGACGATAAACATAGCAGGGTCCATTAAATATTCCTCACTTGAAATGTTTCATATATAATGTTCATCACGAGTACGTGTGACATATGAGACGTTTGAAACAGTTGAGTTTTCTACTCGATGAAAAGGGAATCTTAAGTCATCGAAATATGAATGAGCTTTAAAAGAAATATCGTCACTATAGGAAAAAGCAGATAGCATTCTGATGCATAGGTGTGCCTTAATCAATTTCGCGACCGACTTAATACACACTAATTATGAGATTTCGTAGTGCGTTGATGACATTTCTAGTTATATCATATCTCTGTACTTTGATATTTTAGAATTTGATCGAAATGAAGTTAAATTTATTAATGATACTTGAAAAGAACATCTGTCTACCATAGTAGTTCCGATTGTAGTTTTCCTTATACTAGAAGCTGGTTAGATAGTCCGTGCTTTGCCTTTTTATCAATTCCTGTGTTAGTCGTACTATTTTAAATCTATTCATCAGTCTATCTTATCCGTCACTTATTTGAAACATGAATGGAAATATTCAGTTTTCTTCTCGTTGATAAACTGACCGATTATATTCAGATTATCATTAGATTAATGTTAAATTGACATATGTTTATTGTTTATACTTTGAAAACAGTGCAGAGAATTAAATCTCTCGTCAGTTCGTTTCGTTTTATGTTAAGAGTAAGTTTACATTTTGCCATTTACTTGTTGGTATTTTTTTCTTTTTGTTTTTTTTCTAATAGTGGAATGGTATGACAAGGTGTTAATGCTGTTCGATTAAACCTAAATTTTTTATCTTTCTTTCCACTATTGAAAAAAAACAAAAAGAAAAAAATATCAATAAATAGTAAAATATACACTTACTCTTAACATAAAAAGAAACGAACTGATGAGAGATAAATTCTCTGCACTGTTTTCAAAGTATAAACTATAAACATATGTCAATTTAACATTAATCTAATGATAATTTGAATATAATCGATCAGTTTATCAATGAGAAGAAAATTTAGTTATAAATTATTGATACTTCATCGTTTAGATGAAACGTTTGTTGATCATTAAGAGGCGTGACAAGGGAAATTATTTCAACTGTTTAAACAGTGTCATTAGTCGCCAAAAACGCGTTAAAACAGTTACAATTTCAATGACTCCAAGCGTTTAAACATGTAAAACGTGTTAAAAGTTAATTTTTCATAAACTGTTTTAACGCGTTTTTGGCGACTAATGACACTGTTTAAATAGTTCAGATGTTGAGACGTTTAAACGCCGTTTTTGCCGTTTTGTTGTCTGCCCGGGCAATGTGTGATTTCGGTGGACACTTGTTTGAAGAGAACTTGAATATCAGCACCTAAATCTTGCCACGCTTACATTTTTGCCACAGTTTTCGTTGTTAAATAATTATATTTTTGGCTTTCAACCCGTTATTTTTCAATGGAATATTGATCTTATGTTATTATAGAAAATAAATAGAGTTCCAATACAAAAACAGACTTATGACGGTTATACTGGTAATTCGGTCTAATCAACTCTAAATATGAGACTTAATTTAGAAGAAGAAGAAGAGCAATACGTAATTTAGCGCACTCTACTAATAAGAGCTGAATGTATTGAAACTCTGCAAGCCTATAACAAGCGAACTCTACATCTTCCTAAATCAAAGTATAGAAATTGCATAGAAAACAAGAGCGAACTCTACAAATTTTAATTGTTGAAACAAAACTGCTGTTAAAATTCGTTTTAGTAAAAAATTTTAAATAACAAAAGCAAATGATTTTTAATTTTCGGAGTTCTTTTCAGGAAATGAGTTTTAACGAATTAAAAATCGAAAATTTGACACTTTCAATCGCTTTTAATCTGAAAAATTGAAATTAATTAAAAAATGAAGCATAATTTAATTGAATAAACTTTGAATTTTCGACTGTATGTTCGCAAATGAGAGAATACCAATGAAAATGCTATACGGTTCATCTTGAGCAGGACAGCTTGACAGAAGAATTGAAAATCGAAGAAGTATATTGCATGATTTTGCAATAAATGAATTTTACAGTTTTTAATATGAACATTCAATTGTTTATATGATCAATGACAGGATAGAATTAGAATAAAAGATTGCTTGTTTTTTTTTTATTATTGGGTTGTAACATAAGTTCTGCAGGTCTTTTTGGCAACCAACAAAATTTCACTGTCTTTTTCGAATCATAACCGGCTAGTTCCTGCAAATATCTGATAGAACAATTGCTAGCAAGATGGGCCCAAGTTTCGAAAATAATGGCGATTGTATTGTTGATTGATGTTGCATATCTTTGTCGTAAAATAAATTTGTTCATTAACAACAAAACCTGCAAAACTTATGTTACAACCCAATAGATTCGTCAAATTTATATGTTACAAACAATAAATTTTTTCACAAAAATATCAGTATAGTTTATTGGGAGGTTTCACTCGTAAAAAAAGAAGAAAGAAAGTGAAGCGATATTTATCAAAATCAAGTAATGTTTTGTTTAGCTTGTTTTAATGGCGAAAAATTGCAGTCAAATAAATGTTTATTACTTTTCATTAATAAGTTTGATAAAGAAAAATTTTTCTAGAAATTTCACATCAAGAAAATGACATATAATTTTAACGACATCTCAACAATTAAGAAATTATACACATTTAATATGTATTTTGTTCGATTTACACAAATAGTATATAGCGTACTGTGGTCAGTGATAGAGTATTGGTTTATTCGACTTATTTTTCAATGCAAGATAAGCAGCATTTTTTAGTGATTAGAGTATTATTGTGACAAAAATTATACAATGAAGAATATGAGATGTTACTAATTTGAACTTCTTACAACAAAGTATTCGATGACAACATAGTCGTTTCTTTCTTTTCATTCACTTCAGTGATGACATTTTATCTTTACTTTAACAAGTAAAACAAATTAGCTCATTTAACTTTACCGGTTAGGTTACTTAAAAAGTAAAGTCAAGTAAAGCAGATTAAAGTAAACTACAATACTTTCAATTGATTGTTGATTTTTCAGCTGAATATGCTTCACTGATAATTGTGATGTACTATTATCAATGTAGAATGTTAGATGATAAAATTAATATTATAATGAAAATAGTGAAATTTACTTTACTTTATTGTCTATTACTTTTTTCAGAATACAATAAAGATAAACTACCAGCTCTAACTCTCATGTAAACAAATATTCAGATCGGATTCATTTTTCAAAATAATGATGTTAATATAAGAGAAATTGAAGAAAAAAAAACGTGTTTTAACAGCTAAATCGATTAAATAAGCTTTTTGTTCTATGTATTGTCTTTTATTTAATTGATTCAAATATGACAAACACTCTAGATAAAACAAGTTTGAGAGATCTATAGAAATCTTGAAAATCCGTTTTTTGGACCTCTGAACGTCTTTTCATGAGAAGAAAATTTTTAAAACGAGTAGTTGTTTGATTGAATGAGGAGATTTAACAACTTTTTTCATTAGTTGTCAGTCTACAAAATCGCATTTAATAGTAAAAAGAGTGTCCCAGAAATTCTGTAACAAATTTGAAATTCATCATTCTCACGTTCAACAAAAGCAAACTTCTTGAAACTTTGATAGATTATTAATGACATATATCAAGCACAACATAACGACAATGTTTGAGATTTATAGCTTTCATTATGGGTGAGAACGAGTAACAAAATTATTAGGTACTAATTG